TTTCAGGAGTGGGTAGTTTCTGACGTCATTAGCTCTAGCTCATTATAATATTCCAGCCTTTCACCTGCATGTTGCCCCCCCCCCTCAGCTTACTCCACTATCTGTGGAGACGTCCTGGCAGCGTCAGCGTTAGCATGGTAGCGTTAGCATGGTAGCGTTAGCATGGTAGTGTTAGCGTGCCGACGTGGCCACACCTCCCGGAAGAAGTGGGTGGATTGCCTGTGTCTCATTTGCATTTAAAGAGACAGGCACTCCAAAGCGAGCGCTCTGAACGGGGCTGTTTTGGGTTAGGGTTAGGTTTAGGGTTAGGCAGTGGGACTGAACTGCTATTGGGCTTCATCCTTATGGGATTTTGACCAAAGCTTGTCACCGACCAGGGAACTACAGTAGCTTAACTTGTTGAAATAGGGTATAATATATCTAGTGAATGTTTCTCTTTGTTGTTGTTGTTGAAGGTATGGCCTCACAAGTCTTGGTCTACCCATCACACCTGCACTCAGCCCAGACCAGTGCCTTAGGAACCAGCAGCAGCAGCTCCACCAGCAGAGCCTTTCAGCAGCGCCCCCCGGCCAAGACCTATGTGATCGGAGTCAACTACGGCATCGCGTACCCCAACAACGTCCTCCCCTCCTCCTCCTCTTCCTCCTCCTCCTCCTCTTCGCTCCACCGGGGGCCGCAGCTCGCCCGGACCGAGCAGTGGGGGCTCTGGGAGAGCCTCGGTCCAGCCGAGGGTCCGGACCTCCAGAGCAGGGCTGCCCAGGAAGCCGACCCGGGGACGGACCGTAGCGGACCTCCGTCGGGAGGAGGCGCCGGAGCGGAGAAGGTAGGGCTGTCACGATACTAACATTTTTTTACTCGATACCGATACTCAGGAAAATACTCGATACCATTTTCGATACCACAAGGATAAAAACAAAGACCCCAGAGTACTTCAGAGTAGGGTCTGACCTGCTCTGTTTGGAAAGCGCTGTGAGACAACTGTTGTTGTGATGTGGCGCTATATAAATAAAATTGAATTGAATTGAAAATTTAACTATATTTTGACAGGTTAGTGCCTTCATTTTTTTTACTGATGTTATCGTGACTGGTGGCCCGTATTAATGACCCTCATCCTAACCCTAACCCTCCACCCTTCATAATTGTGAGAAATAAATATTTTTTGGGTTAAACTTGTTTGGACTTATTGTACAAAGCTATTTAACATGCACTATTTTAACATGATATTATGGATAGAGTTTATTTAAGTGCTTTGAAAGATTAATTTCACTATTTTCAAATTAATGTCTATATTCCCATGAGGCAATTAGGATTTTCTTGCCTGGGATCTTCCTATTGGTGACCTAATCAAAATGGCCGATTGGATGTGGGCGGAGTTGGATACGTAGTTGATTACTGTTGGCGTGTTGTTATTAGCCATTAGCCGCAGCTAGCAGTTCAAGGCTAACGTCTTGTTAACTCATTGACTGCCAGCCATTTTCAGAACAGAGTCCCATACTGCCAGTTTTTTTAGCATTTTGACTGATTTTTCAAGATCCACAGAATAGTTTGTGCTATGACTATGTAAACGCCGAATACACCAAAAGAAATAGTAGACTCTCTTCTTTCATCAGGAAAAAAAATTGTTTCTACCTTATTCCGTTCTTCCTCGACTTGCGTCTCACCGGCGACATGTTCTCTCATAGCGAACCGTTAGCTTTTTCTTATTTGCCTACAGTCTATGCTCATCTCCCATCAAAAGTGGCACTGCCACCTAGAGGGTCAATTTGTTACTGCATACTCTGTCTAGAAGCCGATATTTACGGAAAAACTTTAGCCGATCGTCCCCCAGCCACTCGCGTTGAAAAACATAAAAGACGTCTATAGACGTCTATAGACGTCTTTGGCAGCCAATGAGTTAATGATCATCAACAACGTAAATAAATACATAAATAAATCTGAGAGAAGGGGGGCGGTGGTATCGATACATTTGAAAATGAGTATCGTATCCGGATACAACATTTCAGTATCAATACTTTTTTAAGTATCCATACTTTTGACAACCCTAGGAGAAGGACGAGGCCAGAGACCGGAGGGTGGCGCCTAGTGGAGGAGGAGGAGGACGCATCGGGCTTTTGGACGCCGGCGGCGGCCAGAGATGTGAGCGGGAGAGCAGCCGCGCCAGAGCCATGCAGATAGTGGAGGAGGCGTCCGCTCTGCCCTCGCTCCCCGCCCCGGCGGCCATGCTGCAGAGCAGCGCCGGGAACAGTGCCGGGGCCGCCCTCGGGGGGGCGGAGATTAGGCCGGAGGGCAGCACGGAGGTTTTAGCCGGGGCGGCGGTGACCAGGACCGGGTCGGCGGACGGCGACTATCAGCTGGTCCAGCACGAGGTGCTGTGCTCCCTGAAGAGCAGCTACGAGGTCCTGGAGTTCCTGGGGCGGGGCACGTTCGGCCAGGTGGTCAAGTGCTGGAAGAGGGGAACCAACGAAGTGGTGGCCGTCAAAATCCTCAAGAACCACCCGTCGTACGCGCGCCAGGGACAGATCGAGGTGAGCCTCCGCTTTTTCCACCATCCAGTAGTTTGGTGTAGGCTTGTCCCGATCCGATCGGCCGCCGATATGTTCGAAAAAAAACAGGAGAAAATGCCAATCCAGATTCCCGATTCAGTTTTTTTTTTTTAAAAGTCCAATCCCACACGAGCATTAGCATTAGCATCTCCTAACCCACAGGTCTGTGTCCTAACCATTAAGTTGTTATCAGAGTAAATCCCTGTTCAACATGAGTCTGACAGCTAAGTACGTAGGCTAAACTTTAACACATGCTCTGATATGCCGGGATCGGATTGGATAAGCAAAAAGCTGGATCGGGACATCTGTAGTCTGGTGTAGGCTTGTCCCGATACGATATCTTGATCGGACCGGCCGCCAATATTGGCAAAAAAATGCGTATCGGCCGGCAGGAGGAAATCCAGATCCAGTTTTTTTTTAAAAGTCCGATCCCAAACGAGCATTAGCATTAGCATCTTCCAACCCACAGGTCTATTTCCTAACCATTAAGTTGTTATAAGAGTAAATCCCTGTTCAAGATGAGTCTGACAGCTGAGTAGGTAGGCTAAACTTTAATACAGGCTCTGATAGGCCGGGATCAGATTGGATAAGCAAAAAGCTGTATCGGGACATCCCTAGTCTGGTGTTAACGGCGAGCTGTTCCCGGCCTTTCAGGTGGAGATCCTGGCGCGGCTGAGCAGCGAGAACGCGGACGAGCACAACGTGGTGCGCGCCCTGGAGTGCTTCCAGCACCGCAGCCACACCTGCCTGGTGTTCGAGATGCTGGAGCAGAACCTCTACGACTTCCTCAAACAGAACAAGTTCAGCCCGCTGCCGCTCAAGATCATCCGGCCGGTCCTCCAGCAGGTAACCAGGCGCCCGTTCCCCAGTTTCTGCCCTAGAGGGGAGAGGCCCCTCTGAGCTGACTCCTCTCTCCCAGGTGGCCACGGCCCTGAAGAAGCTGAAGTCTCTGGGTCTGATCCACGCCGACCTGAAGCCGGAGAACATCATGCTGGTGGACCCGTCCCGGCAGCCCTACAGAGTCAAAGTCATCGACTTCGGCTCGGCCAGCCACGTCTCCAAGGCCGTCTGCTCCACGTACCTGCAGCCCAGATCCTACGGGGGAGCGGTTCCTCCCCATGCTGCCTCCCTAAGGCCCTGGGGGGGGGGTTGGGCTGGTCCACACTGGTGTGCGCCCCTCTGTTACCGACATGTTCTGTAGCCATTTCAATGCCGTGTCCATTAATGAGGCCACTTCTTAAATCTTCGCTCGTTTCAAATAGTTTTTTTCTTTCTGGTTGAAGGAGAAATTGCAGATTTTGGGGGTTTGGATCGGTTCCTGTTATCTGTGAGAGCCGTTATTAACCCTTTAAAGCCTGATCCAAGAAAAATAGGAAGAATATTTGTTTTTTTTTTGTCTGAAGTCTTTCTTTGGCCCCTCAACAACATATGAAGAAAAAAAAACAAATCAAAACAGATCAAATTAGCGTGCAATAAGTCAAAAATATTTTTGGTCTTCTACTGGCTGTTATCAGGTATATCTGAATATGTACAACAGGGATTTGAGCAAAGCTTTTACCACTGAATGATGCAAAAAGTCTCAGATCCAAAAGACTTCAGAAACCGTATCAAATATGATACATTTGGCATTATAGGGTTAAAGTTGTGAATCTTAAATATGGAAGGATTTGTACTCACACAAACACACCGGCATCAGTTTGACTGCGCCTAACGACTGAAAATGTAGCTTTAATTACATTTTAATTACTCCAGATTACATTTGATCGTCAAATACACTTTTTCTTTTATGGGGAAACTGTCAGCCGAAACGCAGCTGGCTGTCAAACGGTACACAGTGTCCGGAGAGTGTTTGTTCACAGGGGAGATTATTTTTAGGAAGTTCATAGATGTCGGAGTGAACTGTTGTGTAGTGTGTAAGTGTGTAATCATCGTATGCCGGCGTAGTGGTGTGAGTCACCCCCGTGGGCTGGGCCTGTTTGTCTGTGTGTGCGCTTCCCACAGGGCCCCGTGCCTCCAGCGAGAGGCGGTCAGGTCGACCCGCACAGGGAGTTCCCCCCCACTGCCGCTCATCCCCACCCCCCAACTGGCTCGCTCTGTAACCCGGACAGGAACCAAAACGCTCATGAAGAACCGCGTCACGAAATACTTGGCACGTCTCCAAGGCCAGAGCAAGAGGGTAGACTGTGCTCTTGAAGCCGGGTTGCGATCTTCACAAAACACTGTTGTGCAAAAGAAATTCATTAACTTGCTTAAGCTATAAGCCCCTAAGTTCCCATTGTGACGCACAACACTTGAAGGGACGGCTTTAATTAAAAAGAAATCCCGGACTGAACGAACTTGGAACGCGTTAAAAATCCAGCCGCGGCTCAACCGGGACGTGTGGGAATCGGCAGGAAAACCTCCAAAGATCTCATTCCAGCGTCTCCGAGCGCGTGACGGCGAGCGGGCCGCCGTTAATCAGCCGGCAGGTTTCAGCCAGCAGGTCGATTAGGCAAGTCTGCAAACATTGCGCAACCGCGGTGCACGCTGCCTGGAGGAGCGCACGCCCAGCAGGTCACGTTTAACAGCACCGGAACAGAACGCCTCCACAGGTCCACCCTTATCCCTTTTAAAGCCACACACACACACACACACACACACACACACGTTGGTTTTGGACGTTTTCAGCTTCCCATTCGACTAAAGGGAGAACGTATAGGAGTCATGTGAGACCTACACATTCTAGCAGAAGCATCTTTCCCTTTTAAAGCCACACACTTATTGGTTTTTGGCATTTTCAGCTTCCAATTCGACTAAAGGGAGAACGTATAGGAGTCATGTGAGACATACACATTCTAGCAGAAGCATCTCTGGACCGCCTCCCTCCGTGGAGCCACAGCTGTTGCATAACATGAGAGGTTTGCTCCGCGTTTGACCCGCTCAAAGAGCGCTCGATCGCACGGGGCCTGGGCAGGCACAAGTGGGCCTGCAGTGGCTTCTGGGAGTCACTCCGGACACAAAAAGCCACCAAGAATGCGGCGTATGGAAACCCACATTTGGATCCCGGAAAAAAACGGGCAGACATTCTTGTGTGCGTCTGGGTGTGTTCGTCTCTCCCCAAAGGAGGGGCCCCGTTCCCAGAGGTTCAGAGCTGCAAACACCTCTTGGTCCTCGGGCCTTTTACCTCCCTCAGGCCTCACAGACCTGCCCCCCCTCACGGCTCGGTGTGTGTCTGATTGTTTAGATTTCAGTAGCTGGTTGAGTCGGAGAAGCGTGCGCTGTCAGGGCCTCGTTACATAAATATCTACATCCACTCCGAGCTGCGCAGTCCATCTTCCATGTTTGTCATACAAACCTTCCAGGACAGAGGTTTTCTCATCACTTCATTTGTTTGTTTTTTTGTTTTTGTTTCCTCAGAGAAAGGCCAACATTTGCAGGCCTCACAGCTGATAACAGGAGGTTATTTCTCTCTCAAACAGGTCTGGGGTTTCCCCAGAACTTTCCAAAATCAAGCGTTCCTGGTCGTTTTTGTTTTTTAAATGAGTTCAAATCTGTGACACAATGTAAATTTAGTACAAAGTACATGGTTGTTTTTGGAGTGTGAGGAGTCCATGATAGAAGTTGTAAAGTAAAATTCAGATGAATCTGGTGGTGTTTTGGGGTCTGTGTGCTGATAAACACAAACAATATTGTGAACATTTGGATTAGTAGTTGTGTTGCTACACTGGTTTTGTTTACACTAAGAGCTGAGCTTTAGTAGTGTTTGAAAATTCATTTTAAATCGCATAGGTTCACTCTTTATGGGATGAGGAGTCACACACGAGAAGATTTTCCTCCAGACTGAACTCCACCGAGCAGATCCAGCTGTTATGCAGATGAGTCTGTTTCCATATTGAACAACACTATTGATTCCCTCTGATTTTCAGGCTCGGTTTCCTCAGCCGACCGGTTTGTTTTTTTGTTTGTTTTTAGTGTTCCATTATTCACTGAAGCTCCTCACTCACAAACTCATTTGGCTCCGACTCTTTGACAACATCAGACGGATTAGATATTCTTCCAGAATACGGCCCATTTCCACACGCGTCAGCATAAAGTCTCACTGTGTAACAAAAGCTTTAGACGACAGCTTCCAATTAGTGGAAGAAATAAAGAAAATAACTGAGCATGTTTTGCAGAGGCTGTCAGTTAAATGGGGTTTTTTCGGGAAAGTCCTTCCCGATAACATCCAGACGATCAGGTTTTTTAGGAGGGTACAGGTCCTTCCTGGTTTCCCACACACGGTCTTGAAAACATAAACTACACAGAAAAAAGATAATTTACTTGTGTGACTGTTGCGTTCAGATGTGCTCCAGGTTTTTTAACAGCTGCATTTTTGGTAGCCGATGAGCACAAATCCACATCTCCAAAGACGTCTCCAATACCTACGCAGGCTCTTCTAAATGGATCATTTGTTTATCTATTTATGTTTCTCCTCGTCCCTTTATTGGGACAACCATATGTTTATACTTTGTGCGGCATATATTCCCAATTATTCCCAAATTGGAGAAAATTACACTCACATTTTGTCCCTTTTTATCGGGACAAAGAAGCTTCTGTTAATCCTCACATGAAAATCTCAATCTGGACTTGATTTTAAAGGGACTTTTATGAGTTCTTAATCGCTTTAAGGCCAATTTGTTGAATCGGTAGCTGCTGCGTTTGAGGCCCGACTCTGTGGGAGAAGCTTTTCAGGGCTCCTCGTGCACTAATGTGCGGTTGCCATGGCTGCATGACACAGCAGGGCCGTGGCGGGGTGACGTAAAACTACCCACAGTGAAAATGGAGCGCTGGGCAACGTGAATAATTTAGCTGAGCAGATCAGGTGGAGGAGAGACGGTTATCGTCTCTGCAGGCTTAGAGATTTGGAAGATTTAGGGAAGCTGCGTTGTTTCCTTCAATTCTTTTTCTTTTTTTTTGTGCTTTCTCCTTTGAAGCTCGGTCCCATCGGCTGACACATGATGGTCCCCTAATGAAGACCGTATTGATTTCAACAGGGTTGGTTTTAGTTTGAACAGCCAGAGTGGACATGCTTGTTGCTTTATGGCTGGTGTGGTTGGTGGGTCTGTGGGGGGGTGAAATGGAGAGGCGTTCGTCCACTTCCTGTGCGACGCTTCTTTGTGTTCAGAGCTCCTCATCGTGGTTCCAAAGTTTAGTCTCTAATCTCTTTGGATGATTTATTTATTAGTGGTGGTCTCACCTTTCTGGCCCCATTTGCAGCACACACCTCAGTCTGGTTAATTTTATTTAAGATTTATGTAGAAGTGACCATGACACTGACCTCTGATTTAGTGTAGATAAATGACCACAAAGCTGCTCAAAGTTGAGCTAAATCTGTTGCCTTATATATCCAAAACTCCAACGTTAGGGCCACTAAACCTCCTCAAAGTGGTTTACCTGCAGATGAATGCCAGGAAGAAAAAAAAAAGAATAAAAATGCTTTTGGAAAGGTCAGTTTAGAAATGGGAGGACGCGTCCCAGGTCTGCAACATTTCAGGCTGAGTCTGTGCGCCATTTGCTCTGAAAGCAGTTGGTTTTTCTTCCCCTTTTAGGCCACAGTTGTCAGCGCTTTTTAAGTCTCGGGCCGATAAGTCAAGCTAGCAGGGCTCTTTAGGAGCGTTAGTATGATGTCAGGGTTAAAATGAATAGCACCAGTCCGGCAATCAGTTGCATTTGCAGTGGATTTTCCAGGTCAGATTTTTATCTAGTTTCCAGCTCAGAAGAATTTGGTCAAATCCTAAATGTGTTTTGTGACGAAAGAACAAATTTAATAAAATGATCTGCCATTATCAGCCGCTTGTACTGAAAGTAAGGACGTTTTTTGTTATTGCATGTATAATAAAGCTGCCGTATACATATTTTTCTTTCATAGGTCTCATATAGTGTTCAGTATCACCTGAATTTAATCAAGACTGGATTTTCTCAATGAATCTGTCCACTTAAATCCGTTTATTTAAAGGTTTTCAGTGAAGTTGAAGCTCTAAGTTGCTTTTCTTAAACTGCTGCTGGTTGTTAGTTGGAGTTGTCTTTTATTTATTTATTTCTTTTGTACACATTTGCCCCAGTAGTTTGACTTGTTTAATAAGTTTCTGCTCTTTGAGGGGACATTAGCTCTTTGCTTGCCGCATTAAGCTGCAGTAATGCCGCCGGACTCGTTTGATACGTGATCGTCCTGGATCAGCTTTCGCGTCCCGCGCAGAGTTTGTCACATCGTGTTCAGAATCTCGGATTTGCATGAACGCCCCGCCACTACTGGAAGTGTGCGCTCAGCCGTTCTGTCCCCGGCAGGCAGGCAGCAGGTGCCCGTTCTCCCTCCTCCTGCAGACCGGGCCCTTCGTCAACTTCCTGTGGGACGCTTCTTTGTGTTCAGAGCGCCTCATCGTGGTTCCAAAGTTTAGTCTCTAATCTTTTTTGATGATCTGTTTATTAGTGGTGGTCTCACCTTTCTTGCCCTGTTTGCAGCACACACCTCAGTCTGGTTCATTTTATTTATGATTTATGTAGAAGTGACCATGACACTGACCCCTGATTTAGTGTGGATATAACCTGTTTACAGTTCGGTGCATCCAGGCGGGACTAAATGCTGCTCAAAGTTGAGCTCAATCTGTTGCCTTGTATATCCAAAACTCACATTTTAGAGCTACTAAATCTCTATAATTTTGTGGTTCTAAATTTAGTGTTCGTGTGGGTCCGGGCGGTGTTGTGCGACCACCTGGTGCAAAGTCAGGCTGCAGCTCCGCTTGTGCAACTATGGTCCTTCCTGTTTTAATCCCATTTCCTCGCACCATTCACATGTTTTATTTCTTTGCGTTTGGTTCAGGCCTCGGGCAAGCGGCAGCTCTGGGTGTGTGAGGCCTGAGGGGAGTAGAGCGGCAGCCTCTCCTCGGTTTCAGTTCGCTCTTTACAGCAGTTTTTAGCCTCTTTTCTGCTCTTTGATGAGCTGGAACAGCCACAGACTTTGGCCTTAGCTGCCGTATGTGTCGTCCTCCTGGGGGAATTCATACGAACAAACCAATAATTTCCCTTCTTAGTTGAAACTTAATTCAATTTGTGTCCCGTTCTTTCTCTTTTTTTTCCCAGGAAAACCGCAGCCGGTGTCTCGACATGCTTGAGTGTTGTTGTGTGAAAGTCTGCCGCTGTCCCCCTCAGGCTGCTTTCGGTGTTGCATAACTTGACTTCTTCCTCTTGACGGAGCAATAGGAAACGGCGGAGTGTAATTTCCTTTAGGCTGGGGCAGAAGCACCGGCGGTGTAAAGCTGAGCGCTGACTGATGGCCTCATTCTTCACCCCGTAATGCCGTTTCGATGTGGTCTTGCGTCCAGTTGTTGCCTGGCAACAGTTGTTCCCCCCCCTCCCCACCCCCGTGGCCGTCACAGCGGCGGCTGCTATTTGTGGCGCCGTTGCTCGGCTGCTGCTCCGATGGCCCTTTGTTTCCCTGCATCAGCTCGCTCTCCTCCTGGAGGATCACTGGTCCCAGTCGCAAAAAGCAGAATATCCCGCTGATGATGTAATCGCAATTACCGGCCCGGTCTTTAAAGTCATTAAAAGAAGTGACGTATGGCGTTAACATCGACCAAACGCCTCTATTCGAACCGAAAATTTGATGAAAGCAGTTAGAGTTCATTGGTTTTTCTGATAAAATAGTTTTTACAGTGAATTTAACCCTTTAAAGCCTGATCCAAGAATAAAACAAAACAGAAAATTACTTTTTTTTGTTTGAATTCCTTACTTGGCCTTTTAACTAACTTTTAATATTAATAATTTATTACTATGCGATAAATCAAGATTATTTTTCGTGTAGTCTTCTGCCCCCTGTTATCAGGTGTATCTGATTGTGTACAATAGGATTTTGAGAAAAGGTTTTACCATTAAATTATGCAAAAGGTGTCTGACGCAAAACATTTCAGAAACCGTATGTATCAAATATGATACATTTGGCATTACAGGGTTAATGGCATGGTCACTTTATTTTGTGACCATTTTATCAGAGGTGGTCAAGAATTTCCCTAAAAATATCTCATAGTAAGTCATGGTGGAGGTCCTGAAAGTAGAGAGAAGTGGTTCACAGGCTGGGTTTTGTTGACATGTGGTTGTTTTCTGCCAATAGAATTGACTTTTTAGTTTTATTGACCCGCAAATGTTCTCTTTAACCTCGTTGACCTCCGTGCATCGGACCAAACCGTGTTACTCCAGTGAATCTGTGTATTCGCCGTGTCAGTGACCACTTTTCCTGCCTCTCTTCTTTCCTCTCCGCAGGGCTCCTGAGATTATTTTGGGCCTGCCGTTTTGCGAGGCCATCGACATGTGGTCGCTGGGCTGTGTGATCGCTGAGCTCTTCCTGGGCTGGCCCCTCTACCCCGGAGCCCTGGAGTACGACCAGGTAACGTTTCCCCCAAACTGCCGCGTCACCAGGGATGCGGATCGTTAATATTTATTGATATCGATACCTTAATCGATGCTCCTTAACGATCCGAGTCTTTATCGATACCACTATCGATACTTTTCTGTTACTTGGTGGAAAGACGATGCGACAATATTTAGCAAATAAATAATTGTATTTTAAATTAAATGTAATTTTTAATAAATGTTGGCATCAGTAGTTTAATTATATATTCTAAAATTATTAGAGCAATATACAACTGTATTACTCATGTTTCTCGCCAAAAACTCAATTTCCCTTTTCTTTACGTTACACTTGAACGCATCATGATAACCTAATTGTCGTTTTACCGAGCCAATCTGAACACATCATCACGCAGCACGTCTGAAACTTTATTGACTTTTCAAGCTAACTAGCTTGTATGCTGCCGATTACAACACGAAAAAAGTGGAACCGGGTCCTTGATAGAACCGGATTTCGATCCCCATCCCTACGCGTCACACCCGCTAAAAAAACGGGCTGTTTGTTTTCACCGGCCTGCCTGGAATCCGCCAAATCCAGCACAATATTCAGCTAATACTCGCACCGGGGACGAGTGAGTCAGGAAATTGTGTTTGGCCGTGTTTGATTATCTTCCCACATGGTTGTGTGGTCTGAACTACACAACTGGGACTCTTCAGTGGAGTCTCCGGGAAAGGGAGGCGGACGGAGCATGGGAAAAGGTCCACGCCACGTTCACAGACCAGCACCAGAGCGTCGTGTTTGTGACCAAAGACAACTCTGAAGAATGGACCCGAGCTCATCGTGCTTTCAGCCAAACGAGTAAAGATTCAGGGGGGAATAAAACACTAATTGGAATAAAATATTTTATTTTTCCATCATGTGTAACTACAGCGATGACCTGAGTTCTAACTTCTATTTTAATTCAATATTAAAAAGACAATAATTGTACCTTTTTGTAATTTGACCCTCATGGGAGACATCATTTTTGTCCATTTAAATGATTTTAGCACCATTTTACATGTATTGCAAATAAACTACACACAAAAGTTAGGGATTATTTGGCTTTCGGGAGAAATAAATAAAAAAAATTACAGGTGAACTTAATGTGACCTTCTCTAAACTTTTGAATGCACTTGTGCAACTGTTCAGTGTTTCAGTACTTTTTGCCAAATACCCCAAACTTTCTGTAAGGAATATAAATGCCACATATCTAAAGAATGTAAGTAATCTTGACAAATGGGCTAAATCTCCAACTTGCAGACACTTTATGGTCCGTTTATTTAAAAGAAAAAACACAGAAGGCCTCAGAGGTGAAAGGTCATGTAAACGTCTGCTAGTTCAGCCGCTCTTCAAGCATAGAACAATCAAAAAAGCCTTTCTAAAACGGCATCAGTTTGTATTGATACTATCCCACCTTTAATATTTACTTTTTTTTCTTTTTTGTCAAACCATATGTGGGAAGCAGAGATCCTGTTCCTTTCACAGGAAGAGCTTTTCCTGTAATTCCCCTCACAGGAACTCGCAGTTTGAGTGGTCATCAGTCGCAGAGGGGGAGGGGGGGTGGTGTTAGTGGGGGTGGGGGGGTCTCTGTTTTGTCAGGGGGGGGCCATGCCAGGACACTCACCCACACAAGCACAGCGAGCCCCCAAAAGCCCGCGGTCCCATGCCAAGGCCCTCCGCCGTTCCACTCTACACAGCAAAACGTATTTATAAACGTAAGCCCGCCGGCAGACATGTGCACAGTCATGCGCGCACGTGCGGGCCCTGAAACCCAGCGCCACCACTTTCCCTTCGGTCAGGACATACCTGCAGCTCAGTGACACCCAGAGGGGTGGCAAACAGGCCGGGGGGGGATTCTGGGAATCGGCCTAAGAGATGAACAGATGCCTCACCTCACAAAGGCGTAGGGAGGAAAAAAATGTTTCCCCACGCAGGTTCCAGCATGAACGCCTGCCATCGCACCGGTTTTGATCCGCTGGCAGGTTTGGCCCTGCAAGGAATGATGCCAGTCCTCCATTTTGATGTTTTAATCTGCCAGAATCTGTGAATTACGCTCTATTCAGTACAGTTCTTTCAGCCAGAGCGTGGACCCACACAAAGTACGGCCGTGTGTTAAAAATGGCGCCTTCATTGTTAGCGTGGAAATTCATCTATTAAAAAGTCTTTTTACTAATAAGAAAAAGAGGTAAAAAAAAACAAGTTGTGCCTGCTAATCAAAAGTGAATCCAAAACCTAGGTTTCTGTTGCTTTGACTTAAGAACAGGCAAACTAGAAAAGCAAATAAAATAAAACAAGATTGAAAATAGGTTTTTCTGGTCGGTGATTCAGTGGAACCCCAGCAGGGAGCAGACCACAAACTTTTGGTGAAAACCTGTCATGGATTCTTTTGTTTATTCCTCAGTGAAATTCAGCTCCCCCTTTCCCTTTGACATCTTTTTTCCATTTTTTTTTGTGAAAAGTAAACATGCCTGTGCTCACTTATATGGATCTACTGATCAAAAAGGTGACTCCAGTCAAAAGATGAATAGTATGGATTTTTTTGTTTTTTTAGAATAAGTTTGAGTTCTCATTAATCCTGACTTCATATCACCTGGTATGTCAGATTTCTCTGAGTCCTGTCAGAGCTGGCAGCAGCTCTCAGGGCCGGTGACTCACGCTGTTGGTTATGTAGTTTTTTTTGGGAGGATCTGTAAATCGGCTCATAGCCTGAGCTAACTTTCGGTTGCTACCTGCCGGGTTTTCTTCATCTGTCATCTGGAGCTCGTTGTTTGCGGTTTTCCAGAAGAGAAAGCGTTTGAAAGATTCCTGCATGCGTTAAAGCTGATGCAGAAAAGGCAAGGCAAGTTTATTTTGTGTACAAGACAATTCAAAGTGCTTCACAGACCATTTAAAAACAGAAAAACAAGAAAAGAAAAATAATGAAAAATAAGACAGATGAAAAGTGAAGGGTGCAGACAATACATTAAATTTCCTGATGAAGAGTTAAACAGAAGTGTTTTTAGCCTGGATTTAAACAGTCAAAAGCATAATCAGACCCGTCCTGTCAGAACTGGAACATCGGGCTGAATTCCTGCAGAAACTGTAACACAAGCCCCGCTGCCGTAGACAGTGTCACGACTTGCCTTTTGCAGGTTTGTTTCCTGCTCGAATCCCTCGGAAACGTATTCATTTGGGATCCCGACGGGTCTGACGATCGCCCTCCCCTTTCTGCTCTTTTCCTCCCAGATCCGGTACATCTCTCAGACCCAGGGGCTGCCAGCTGAGCAGCTGCTCACCAAGGGGACCAAGACCTCCCGCTTCTTCACCAAAGAGTCCGACTCTCCCTACGCCTCCTGGAGACTAAAAGTAACCGCATCCACATCCCACAGAGAGACGCTCGTAGGCCCACAAAGCATGAGAGCCGCTAACATCTGGAACACATACGGGAGAGCCCCACACTGACCAGCTTTAGAGATCAACTTAAACTTTGGATGAAAGCAAGCCAGTCATGTGACCACTAAAATCTAAACTTTTAATTGTGATGCTTATATTGTTTATTATGTGTTATTTTTTATGCCTTTGCCTGCCTAGGGACTACGGATGAAAATTAGCTTTGCAGCTACAATCCGGCATATTTACATTTGTTTTTCACTGATGTTCATTAATGTGCTTTGTCCCTATTCAAATAAATAAATAAGCAAAGCGCACACATTTAGGCCGCTGGGGACTTTTTTAATAGCTGCAGATATTTATCAGGAATTCTGGGGGTTAAGTGGCAGCTCTCGCCCCAAAAGGAAACAGCTGCTTAAGCTTTTTCAAACCGGGACAAAGCCGGCACGGCCCCCAGAGCTGGTGGAAATGTGAGCCTGTGTCTGGGCTACCTGCTGAGCGGCTGCTAAATGCGTTCAGACGAATGCTGGGGACTGTTTATCTGCCCGACCTTTCCCGGTAAAAGCCTAATTGGAGCTGTTTGGCTGTAGATTTGCATGGAGGCAGCCAGATGCATTTGCTGACTTTATCTAATATTTTGAATATTTTGACCTTTTACTGCATCGTTGAAACAAATCAAACTCGCACGAGTCTCGCTCACGGTGCTGGTTCAGAGGCAGAATGAGCATCCAAATAAAACTAATACTTATTTCCAACATATTATACATCAGGACTTTGCTTAAAAAGAAAAAAGTTGGACTATATTTAATATAAAAACGCACTGTTGCTTTTCCCTTTTGGAATGAATGGAATAAGTAGCAGTCAGATGCTGCTAATCAACTGAATTAGTGTTAATCTTAGTATTATTTAGTATTAATCTGAGAGCTCTTGCATTTTTCCTTAGACCCGCTAAATAAAACCTGTCGTTCAAAGATAGAATTAGTCTTTCTTTATAAATTGAATACGCATTCTGGAGATTATTGACCTTTCTATTACTCCCCCAGACGACTGAGGAGCACGAGAAAGAGACGGGGCTGAAATCCAAAGAGGCCAGGAAGTACATCTTCAGCTGTCTGGACGACATAGCGCATGTAAGTCTGGTCAAATGTCCGACAGGCTTCCAGCATTCGGCTGCTTTGGAGAGGGTTTCCTGCTTAGCCGGAGTCAGTCTTCCCTCACGTTGTTCCTCCCTTGTTCATCTCCGTCAGGTCAACCTGGTGCTGAGCCCCGACGGGGGCGACATGCAGGCGGATAAGGCCGACCGGAGGGAGTTTGTGTCCCTGCTGCGCAGCATGCTGATGATCGACGCCGAGGACAGGACCGTCCCCTCCGCCGTGCTGAGTCACCCCTTCCTCACCATGACTCACCTGCTGGACCACCCCCACAGCAGCCAGTCAGTCTCTCTGCCCGTTATCCTTTCCTCTAAAAGAAACAAAACCTGCTTCTCACTGCTAGGGATAGGGATCGGAACCCGGTTCTATCAAGGACCCGGTTCCACTTTTTTCAAAACCCGAAAATTAATGACGTTTGGGCTTATCAATACCACTATCGAGTCTGGTGGTTTTTCTTATTATTGCAATAGTAATTGTGAAATCCGTGTTGTAATCGGCAGCATACAAGCTAGTTAGCTTGAAAAGTGAATGAAGTTTCAGACGTGCGGCGTGATGATGTGTTCAGATTGGCTCAGTAAAACGGCAATTAGGTTATCACGATGCGTTCAAGTGTAACGTAAAGAAAAGGGAAATTGAGTTTTTGGCGAGAAACATGAGTAATACAGTTGTTTATTGCTCTAATAATTTTAGAATGTATAATTAAACTACTGATGCCAACATTAATTAAAAATTACATTTAATTTAAAATACAATTATTTATTTGCTAAATATTGTCGCATCGTCTTTCCACCAAATAAACGAAAAGTATCGATAGTGGTATCGATAAAGACTCGGATCGATAAGGAATATCGATAAAGGTATCGATATCAATAAATATTAACGATCCCCATCCCTACTCACTGCTCCGTTTCCCCCTCTACAGTGTGCAGTCCTCTTTCCGGATCATGGACATGTGCCACAGCCGGCCCAGCAACGCCGTCTTCGATGCCCTCAACCAGAACACCATTCATTTCCCCAGAGCCCCCCTCGCCCCCCCGGCCTCCTCCGGCCTCCCTCTGGGCTACAGCAGCATCCCCGTGCACACGCAGGTCAGAGGCCGCAGGGCTGCAGACGTCCGTCTGCGGATGTCTGGACCGGGGGTTCGATTCCTACATGAACTCTTGAATTACCAAGATACTCATTAAAGCATCTGCTAAATGCATATGTATATATATATACATATATATATAAATTTGTAAAAAAAGGTCCTAAAATCACACTTGAGGACCTTTTTTTGTTTAGTTATATATATATATATATTTTTTTACAATTTTTTACAAATTTATATACACACACAAATGTAAACATTTTTAAAAATGGTCCTCAAATCGCATATGAGTACCCCCTCATTTAAAAAAAAAAATTAATTAATTGATTTTTTTAAATGATAAAGGAAATCTTAAAGGCAGCTTAATGTCTACTGGGTTTGGGAAGGCCGGTCCCCTTCCAGCTGGAGGACCTCTTCAGCTTGATTCTGAGGATCACTGTGACCGTGTTTTTATACAGAAACTCTGTTGCTCATCTGCTGGTTTGAGTCTGACACTAGTTCTTGTGGCTCTTTTTACCCACAAGCTCCTCTTCATCTTTGGGTTTCAACTAAGCGCTGCAGCATGTTTTTTTATCAGGCTGAGACCTGTGGCCAGGCTCTGATACAAACATAACATGAACTCTATCAACGTAGATAATGTCTTATCTTCAAATAGAAATATATTGAATTGATTTAAAAACTTCCTTTAGCTTAAACATAAAAATTGCCTGAGTCGATTGATACCTTATTGAACATTTAGTTGATGTATTTTTCTCATTCTTTGCTCAAAGTGTCTGATAAGCAGTTTTATCATACAGGAAAAAGTACCTTACATCCAATATAAAAGGGTTTAATTAGCCAAAGTAAAAGCAAAAGGTTCAGTTAAAGCAATTAATCAAACTCTTGCTTGAATGCTGTGGGAAACAAAGTCCTTTGCTTTGATTAGAAGTAATGAAAAATGGATAAAGTATTAATGAGATGAGCTTCATTTAAATCTGGGCTGTCTTAATGATAATAAACTGTGTGTGTGAAGCGCCTCAGGTCCAAATGTGCGTGTCTCTCATGTTCTGGCTTTGAGAAACTTTGTTGCCTTACTGGGCTCAGCTTGTAAATAAATGTGTGCACTGGTTATTCCTCTCCCCCCCATCTGGTTTGTCTAACTCCTCTTGTCCTCCACACAGTCGATCACCCAGTCGGCTCCCTCGGTGCTGCATCCCGGGATCGCCCTGACGGGAAACGGGCAGTTTGGGTGCAGTGACTCCTTTCCCCCTGCTCTTATTCTTTGCCCCCCCACAATGCAAGGTACTGCCACCACCATGCTGTTTTCTCCTTTATTTAAAAAAAAAAAAGGACTAGTCATTATGTTTGGTGCTTAGCTTCCCCAAGATGACATTTGATAAACCAAATTACTCATTTTTAAAAAATGAATTTCTCTCCCTCTCCAAAGGTAACCTCAACCAACCAGCGACATACTCTGTCCCCATGGTAACTCAGGCCCCTCCCATCCAGCCCCTGCCAGTGAGGCCTGGTGTGATAGCTCAGGTAAGACTCATCTTCCCGTCCTCCGTCCCTGTTTGCACTGAACACAACAGACGTCATCGTGCTGACGTCTCTCACCGGCCGTAACCAACGGTAACCGGCAGCCACGCTAAACTGCCCCTACGGCTCCGTATGAGTCAGACCACACCCGTCCTCTCACTCCTCGTTTGTGCCCGTCATCGATCTGTGAGGCTTCAGGACCAGGGATGGGGATCGTTAATATTTATTGATATCGATACCTTTATCGATGCTCCTTATCGATCCTAGTCTTTATCGATACCACTATCGATACTTTTCTGTTATTTGGTGGAAAGACGATGCGAGAATATTTAACAAATAAATAATTGTATTTTAAATTAAACGTAATTTTTAATAAATGTTGGCATCAGTAGTTTAATTATATATTCTAAAATAATTAGAGCAATATACAACTGTATTACTCATGTTTCTCGCCAAAAACTCAATTTCCCTTTTCTTAACGTTACACTTGAACGCATCATGATAACCTAATTGTCGTTTTACTGAGCCAATCTGAACACATCATCAGGTCTGAAACTTTATTTACTTTTCAAGCTAACTAGCTTGTATGCTGTCGATTACAACACGGATTTCACAATTACTATTGTAATAATAAAAAAACGACCAGACTCGATAGTGGTATCGATAAGCCCAAACGTTATTGATTTTCGGGTTTTGAAAAAAGTGGAACCGGGTCCTTGATAGAACCGGGTTTCGATCCCCATCCCTATTCAGGACTGCGTTTTCCGGGGGTTTGATCTGTTCCCTGCTCTCCTCCTGCAGCTCAGTTCGTCCCTCGGGCCGTTTTTATGAAGCCCTGACTCGGATTGAAAACATTTGGCCCTCTTTAGTCCCCCCCCACAGACGCCGTGCGCTTTAAATCCGTCACCAGGTGCTGATCTGTGGCCCCCAAAGGGGATCAGAGCGCCGCGGATCAATAGACGGTGGCTCATTATCCCTGATTATCTCCGCTGTGCTTCCGCAGCAGGCCTGGTCCGGGCGAGGCCAGCAGATCCTGGTCCCGGCAGCCTGGCAACAGATGACTCCGGTGGGTCCTCCTCCCTCGCACCCCCCCCCCCCCCCCCCCAGCTCCCTGACCAATGACACCGCAGCGGGCCCACAGAGGATCGGCGACTGGGGGTGAGTCACCCAGTTATGAGTCATCCAGAACTTCAATTCTCGGAAAATCCCCGTTTGAAAGAGGAGCTGTTGAGGTTTTTTTTTTCTCTCTATTTAGTGGGGATTTTTCTACCGAAAGGATCTGTTATATAAAGCGGTGGTTTTAATGTTAGTTCAGAGACATTTTACCCACTTGTAACTGCTCCCTTTACTTTTATTAGACCACAGCTAGGAATATATTCATGTCAACCCCAAAAAGGGGTAAAATTTTATTGTTCTGAACCGTTTCACCCGTTCACAGGAAGGTGCGTTCACACAGCAGCCACTATAACACAGTGATGCAGCAGCCGCTTCTGACCAATCAGATGCCAGCGCTCTCTGCCCATCAGCCAATCAACATCGGCATAGCTCACGTTGTGTGGCCCCAGCCGGCCAACAAGAGGAACAGACACGGCCACAACAGGTGAGGTCATGGTTTACATCATAAAGCCGCCCTGAAGCTGTTTTTATCTTTTATTTTTAAATTGAATTTTCAATAAATGAAAAGGGATTTAAATGTTGTGCAGCATAGAAATCTGGGAACATAAGCATTATTCTTAGTATTAATACAAAAACAAACTGAAAACTTTTGCTACAGAAGAAAAAACAAACGGAAACAAAGATACAATAAACAAACAAATACAACAAACAAACACACCAAAACTAAAAAGAAAAAAACCCCTAAAACAACAATGCTCAAATCCCGTCAGAAGCCCCGGCAATAACATAAGCAGCAGAAATAACAAGGCTCTAAGACTGGATGTCATGTTCTTTTATCTTTCCTACGCCTGTCACAAGCTAAGGTAGTAAATACCCAGAAGGCCTGTAGGATCAATGGGACTCAGAAAAGTGTTAAAGGGGACATATAATGCAAAACCAAGTTTTTAATCATTTGATTATGTACATTTGGGACTGTGGATGGCCTATCAGCAGGCAAAGTGTGAAAAAAAATGCCTCAGTCTGAATCCAGGAGATAAATCAGGAGGTTTCAGGAGTGGGTAGTTTCTGACGTCATTAGCTCTAGCTCATTATAATATTCCAGCCTTTCACCTGCATGTTGCCCCCCCCCTCAGCCTACTCCCCTATCTGTGGAGACATCGTGGTAGCGCGAGCGTTAGCATGGTAGCGTTAGCATGGTAGCGTTAGCATGGTAGTGTTAGCCTGGTAGTGTTAGCCTGGTAGCGTTAGCATGGTGGCGTTAGCATGGTAGCGTTAGCGTGCCGACGTGGGCACACCTCCCAGAAGAAGTGGGTGGATTGCCTGTGTCTCGTTTGCATTTAAAGAGACAGGCACTCCAAAGCGAGCGCTCTGAACGGGGCTGTTTTGGGTTAGGGTTAGGGTTAGGCAGGGGGACTGAACTGCTATTGGGCTTCATCCTGATGGGATTTTGACCAAAGCTAGTCGCAGACATTACATTAGGACACCAGGGAACTAGTTTAACTTGTTGAAATAGGGTATAATATGTCTCCGTTAAGAGAGGCTGTTTTTTAATGTCTGACATGTGGTTTATCCTGTCAAAAGGAATCTGGCCCATCCCAACAACGTCCACGTAGCAACCTGCCGGACGCCCAAAATGGTGGACGCTGTCGGCCAGGCGGTGGCGGGGCGGGCGCCCCCCCAGAGGGAGGCCCCCCCGGCGGGCCCTCAGCCCCCAGAGGCCCGACACCCGGACGAGGAAGAGGACGGCGCCGAAGAGGAAGTGAGCTGCTTTAAGGGGGCGGCGCCGGGCGCCACCAGAGCACCGGCGGCCCCCCGCCAGCGGGACGTGGCGCTGCTCATGGCGGACTCTCCCAGTCCGGCCGCCAGCGTCATCAGCATCCGCAGCGACCTGAGCGAGGAAGAGGAGGAGGGGGGGGAGGAGGGGGAGGCGCCCCCCCCCGGGCTGCCACGCCGCCCGGTGAGTATCAGAAGAAGCAGTAGAACTACTGAAGTACTGTACTTAAATACCAAAATGCAGTATCTGTACTTTATTGGAGTATATCTTTTTCCCCCTACTTTTACTATTATTCCACTACATATTTTTGATTATTTCAATACTTTTACTCCGATCTATTTTTCACGGGCTGAATCGTTACTCGTTACTGATATGTAAACGTATTAAATGTGAATAAGGCTCACCATTGGGCGATTTAAGCGATTAAGCATAGCCTATAAAAAATGCCTCCCGAAATATTGCGATATCATGGCCTTCAAAAATACCCCATCTAATCTGAAGAAGCTTATCATGGTTAGTTAAAAAATACAATGACATATAAGCTAGTAAGTAAGCGCTAGTTCAGTTCTTCCTGTTCACTCAGGATGTAGCAGTTAACGTTAGCTAAAGCTAACCTAGCTGGCTAGCTGTATGCTACATGCTAGCATAAAGGGTCAGCTCAGGATTTTGACACTGGAATAATAAATAAAGGCAGATGAGGTGCTGTTGATTGCTAATGCAGATGTAGTTTTCTGTTTTTGTAAACACCTGTATGGCCTTTCACACGTTTGAAATAATACAAACAATATCTATCAAACTTTTGACGACCTTTTTTTAATTTACACAGTACTTGTACTTTCGATATTTGAGTAGCAATTTTTTAAATACTTCTACTTGCAATTCTTAAGTACAAAAAAAATGGAGTACTTACGTACTTCCACTTAAGAGTGGTGTTGAAAGAACACTCCAACTTTTACTCAACTCAATTTTTTTATACAGTACTTTACACATCTCTGTCCGATGCTAACGAGCCGTACCTGCCCGCAGGTGCAAAGATGAGTGTGTGTGCGAGGCCTGTGGGGACGCCAGCGTCTCCATGGGGAGAGTCTGCTCCCTCAGCAGCCCCGACAGCAGCCTGAGCACCAGCTCCTTCGCCTCCAACTCGCTGCAGTCCAGCCCCTCCGCGTCGCCCTGCAAGCGGCCCAACAGGTTAGACTTAGACTTAGACTTAGACTTAGACTTAGACTTAGACCTCCTTTATTGTCATTGCACAAAAACACGAGGTGAAGTTGACAACGAAATGTTGATTACTTGGCTACCAGAGTAACAGCTAAGACCTTATACCATGCACAATAAATATGTATTGTATTCTATTCTATAACTAAGCGCTAAGCGTAAAGAATTATATTTATACATATTAGGCTTTGGGCGCAGTAGCGCCACCTTCTGCTCTGGAGTGAACACGCTTCCCTCTGAGAAAAAGGAGCAGCATGAACCGAACGCAACACACGCGAATCGAACCGAGACAATTGAACCGAGACAGTCGAACCGAACGATACGGACGGTTTTCAGAAACCGTCCCATCCCTAATACATATATATATTGCACTGAATTGCACTGAATTTTTTGCAACGAAACATCAGTAACATCCTGCCCCTCCTGTCCCTTCCAGCATGTCTGAGGACGAGGGGCCTGAGAGCGGCTGCGACACGGTGGAGGGCTCCCCGGCGTCCGAGGGGGCGTCGCCGCCGCGCGGTGGCCACGGCGCCTACCGTTACCGCGGCAACGACAACCGCCCGCCCCTGGCCGCCGTGGTGGCGCCGCTCCCCGCCCCCCCCCACGGACCGGGGCAGGAGTCCGCGGGGCGTCCGGACCATGATAGTTCCTCCAATGAGAGTTCAGAGCAACAACAACACTCAGGGGACAGAGGAGCGCCTCCAGAGAAACGGTCAGTTCTCTCTCTATGTGTGTCTCTCTCTCTCTCTCTCTCTCTCTCTCTATGTCTCTGTTTCTGTCTATCTCTCTCTCTCTCTCTCTCTCTATGTCTCTCTCTCTCTGTATCTCT